GGAACGTTTTCTGCGACTTAGCGCAGGCGTCCCGAACCCGCCCCGAGCCCTGCCGAATGACCACGGCGCGGCGGACAGCGCGGCGTTGAGGCAGAAGGGTGTGACGGATCGAGCTGAAACTTTACGCGGCCATACAATCAACCTTCCCCTATCAGATGCTGCTTTCGGATTTGAAATAGGTGGAATCGTTTAGGAGAAAATGAGACGCACATTTGAACGTGCAGGCCCTGGTCCGCCCGTCGTTGCCTCTCCATCCCCTTCTACTCCATGCTGCTGAAGTACAATAAATCAGTCGTCGTTCAGTCTTGCTACCCAGCTGACTCTTCTTACTCCTCCGCCTCAGACACTTTGCAACCAGTCGCACCACCGGCCCACGGGCTTCAGCCGTTCAAAGTAGACCAAACTATCAGAAGATACAACATGCTTCTATTTGTTGCGATTTGTTGTTAAGACTTGCATGTACAGAAATGAAATAGTCACGAATGTAATTTGGCACGTGAGACTTACTTTCTGCAGTTAAGGAGGCAGGCAGACCTGTGAAAATCATTTTAAAAATTCAGTTTGTTTTTTATTGCTTCAAAAAATTATTTGAACTTTCCTCTTTCTAATGCCGAAAAGCGGATGCCGAAATTCGACAAATTGCTCTCAGGAGAGCCCAAAACGAGCTGCGGGCGGCCGGGTGGCTGGACCGCTAGGGCTCGCCTAGCCGCTGAGGACAGGACACACGATGAGGAAGGAGTCTTCTAGAGCCCCGGAGTCTTTTCGGACCAGTACAGAAAGTTGCCCCGGCTTTTGGTTCGTCGTTGCACATCGGTACGAAAAACTTAAAACGCGTTTTTCTCCCACTTCTGTTTTGCGTTACCGTGTGCAGCCTCCAGGCCACAGTTTTTGAGCTACAGCCTAGCCATTTCGACTGGTCGTAGCCTAGATATGTACCTTTCGTTTGACGAAAGTGATTTTTGATATCTCATTTCTCAAGTGCCGAAATAGGGTATAAAGTACCAAATTTTTACCCACGTTTTAGGTACCCAAACTTTGGGAAAATATTTCACACACTGAAAATTAAAAATTTCAAAATCGCTCTCGTCCAACGAAAGCTACAGCTTTTAAGAGTAAATGAGCATTTTTATCGTTGCCGTAGGTCCATCCGTTGTCGCGCAATCCTGCACACGGTAAAGGTCCATAACCCTCCACTTCGAGAAAAAGAAGAGCCTGTTCCCGGAGAAGCAAGCAGACGTTGTATACATCAAAACGTAGCTTAATCCTTGCTCTTTCTAAATATCGTTCGTTGAAAGCCGTACGGTTCTTCGTTTTCTTCTAGTTCCTATTTTCCCAAACCCCTGCGTTTCACAGGTCTGCCCCCTTAATGAACTTCAGGTATTATGACAGAAATTGTGATTCATTCCAGTCTTTTCCTCAAAGCACAACTGTGATTAACTTACTGAACCAGATACTAGCTATATGTACGCCAGACCACGTCTAGCGTAACAGGCTTCGCGATATCTCACGAAACACTGTTACGCTGCGACGCGCCTGGCGCACAAATAGCTAGGCCTGCGGCGCTGACACCTGAGACGGGGTAATTGGAGTGTATATGCAATTTTTCGAAATAAAGTCTTTTTAACGATTTAATCGGCCATTTGACCGTTATCACCTCATTTTTGTCAAGAGATGCCCCCTAGCACCCAAACGGTACGAGATAGAGCCAAACGGACGAAATTTTCGCCCGTAGGGTTCTACTTTGTCGGTTTACCCCATGGCATCCCATAAAAAAATGGATAAAAATACATTTTGCGACCTGTAGTTTTTGATTTTTTTAAAAGCCAATTTTTGAGCTATAATGCTTATCTTCGAACTCGATCTGTCTTTTTATGATACAAAACGACCCTAAAATTCCCAGATCGCTATCTCAATTCCTTCTCGAGTTATCGTGCGGACAGACACACAAACAGACAAACAGAATGAAACTTTTCCGGTCA